CAGGCAAAACCTATACCTAAACCAGGAAACTGTTGTCCAAACAAAGCAAGCGAACATTGCATGATTGATTCAAATAAAGAAAAAAGGACATCAGGAATGTATCCTTTCTCTCTACCTTTTCATTCTGTTTGTGGAACACATTGTTTGGGAAGCTGGACTCTGCAAAGAAGAATGTGGCATCGGGATTCGAAGAAGACTCATTAACAATCTAACATTCTGCATTAGGCTCTCCAAAATGGGTAGGACTTGATCCATTTGCTTCAGAATATCAAGTACAGCAGTCTTCAATATGTATTGCATTTCAACATCAAGAAAATAAAGATCCTCACCACCAGGTTAATAAACAGTATCATGATAGACGGGGAAAGAATTGAGGTTATTAACAATTGAATCCTGCTCAGATCTACAGTCAACACTCTCCAAGAGTCAAGCTCTCAAAAGATAAGTTGTATTGAGAAAGTCTGCTGTCAGGGGTCTCTCCAAAGTTTGAAAGAGTAACTACATCAGTTTAGAGATTAAGGTATGCCTGATTCAGGCCATGGTCTTTGCAATAGCTTGCTATGCATCAGAGAGCTGGGCAATGACTAAGGATGACAGAAGAATAATTGAAGCCTTTGAATGTGTTGTTGGAGAAGAATACTGAACATACCAAAGACTGCCAAGAGAACAAAAAGATCTATCCCGGAGAGGGTGAAAACAGTTTGTTCCTTGGCGGCAATAATTTTGGCAACATACTTTGGACATATTGGCAGAAGGTACCAGTCCTTGGAGAAGGACATCATGCTTAGGAGGATAGAGAGTGAGCATAGAAGAGGAAGACCCTGGATGAGATGAATTAACGTAGAAACTGTGGCAATGGAGTCAGGTGTATCAGAGACAGAAGTCCAGCATAGGGCAAGGTTCAGAGTTATTGTTCATGGGCTCACTATGAGTCATAGTCAACTTGATGGCACATAACAAGTACAAACTGAATCAAATGTACAAAATACATTTGGCTGTTATTCCATTATATTTTGTTAAATTGCTATGTATGAAATAATTGTAGTATTTTTCATCCTTTGACAACAATTAATGAGCTAAATTAGAAGCTCTGAGCATGGTTTGGAGCCAACAGTTGCTCCATGGGAGAAGGATGGGCAATCTCCTTGCATGGGATTAACTTCCTTTGAAAACCCACTGGAAGTTCAGCTATGAGTTGATTCTGACTTGATGACAACAAGAAAAAGTATTTACTCACCTGTAAAACAGGGAATACACTTTCTGAAACAATTGAGCTCCAGAATTACCAGCCCACCTTGACCATTCCATCTCCCATATAGGGATAATACAATATCTGACTGATCATAGAATGGTGAGCAGAGAATGATGAACTATATCCATCCATAATCCATCGCTTTTGGCCGTGTGCATGCGAAGCTTTGTGCTATTCTCAGAGAACCTATGTCTAGTGAAAGAGGAATAGGAACTGGCAGCAGTCACACCTAAGGAAACACAAAGATTTATGTTTGCTAGGGTTCAGACAAAAGCAGATCAGCCTCAGAGGACAAACCTACTGAGTGGAATGTTGGGGCATTTTTTTCCACAAAGACCCATTGCTAATAGCATACTGCAAGAGGAGTAGCAGTTATTGCAAAGTGGAAGGGGGTTGCATAGGACAACGTATCAGAAAGGTGTGGATCTGGGCCTGCACAAGTCTTCTTGTGTGACAGGGAGAGATACTTAAAAGTCAGCAGCAGTGAAGTGAATTCAATAACTCAAGCAAAAGATTTTAGACGGCAGATCTGAAGCACTGTTAAGGCAAGGTCCTTCTGTGGTCAAGTTGGCATACAGAATTATTGTGCTTGTGCCTAATCAACAATAAACCCAAGAAGGCAGTAAGGCCAAAGAGTTGTGTTTTCCAAAGAGTTGAGGACAGTGGCACTATTTCACTGCTGTTAGAGGAAGATGAATATGGCTACTGTGCTCAAAGACCTTGCTAACCAGGCCCCTGTGACTCCATGCTCTCCACAGACCAAGATAGGTGAAACCTCCCTTCAAGTAATTAGATAGTGTCTTCATGCCTGTATAATAGTGAATGCCCTGTACTTGAGCTGTGGGTCTAAAATGTGCCTTGATTGCTCATCAGCCCAAGAATGTGAACTATTTACTCCACCACTCCCTATCTGATGCAGAGAAAGATTGTTGTCTCTGCCCTGGGTGTATATGCTTCCCATGTCACGTGATGACTGGTACAACATCACAGATGCAATTGTAAAGTATCAGAGACAAAGTACTCTACCATTTGAGGGTTGTATGCACTGCATTTTCTTTCAGAGAAAGAAGGTAAGTAGAGATAAAGTATTTTTAACCTTCTTCCCTTATCTGCCAACTATAATCCTAATAATTTCTAGACCCTACTACACTCATGGTCACTTGGACTATGTATCTGTGAATCTCTGAGGGCTTAAGGAAACTGTGAACTGGTTTCAAAATCATCTTCATGATTTTAAATAAATCAGACTTCTTGAATCTCACTCTGGAAATCAAACAACATCATTTTGGTCCAAGGACAGAAATAACATCCTTTTTTATTAATATCTGAGAGGAATATAGTGTAACTAAGAAATGGGACTTTATTAGAAATTGGATTTAGAGAAGAACATTCCCAGATTGAATGCTCTTCTCTGAATCTCTATAGAAAATTTCTGGGTTTTTTTTCTTAGAAAACCCTTTTGTCCATTGTCATTGTTAATTGTGTGGTTTTCTACACCTAATATTTTATTTTCTTTTAAAGTTATAGTCATTCCAACTCGGTTATTTGCACTATTACTCTAGTAATAAAAGCATTAATCATTATCTCTCTATTAAGTACTAATGTGTGATTGGCACTCATCAAAGATTAGTAGACACAATAGTTTCATGGGATTTCTTTGTCCTAGTGCAAGACACGGACTAGTCTTTTTAAGATTGGGCATAAATAAGCCTGCAGATATAACCAGAAATGCACAGACAAAAGAGGATGAAATAAATGAATGAGACCAAGTCCTTGTGTACATCAAAAACTTTTTTTTCCAGTAGGGTGAAAAGAAAGCCTAATGGCAATGACATCTCAGACAGAGGTCTTACAATGAAAGTTTACAAAACACTACCATGGACTGCTAAGATAACAGACTAGTCTGTCCTGGAAAAGGTGGAACTAGACTACTCCTTGGAGGCAAAGATGTTGAAGCTCCATCTCACATACTTTAGTCATCTTGCCACGAGGAACCAGTCCTTGGAAAGTTTGCCATGCTTAGAAGGGTGGAGGGACAGTACAGGAGAGGAAGACCCTGGATGAGATTGACTGACTCATTAACTAGGGTAATGGAGATAGGTGTGTTGGAGACAATGAGATAGGCTCAGGATAGGGCAGAGTTCAGAGCTATTGTGCATAAGGTCTCTATGAGTGAAAGGTGACTAAACAGCACATAACAACAAAAGCAACAGAGCCTCTGTCAGAAAAAAACTGATAGCCCAATTACCAAATGCGCAAAAGACTCATCACAAAGGAAGACATTTGGATGGCGTACAGATGTATGAAGAGATGCTCAAAAATCACTGACAATAATGGAAAGGCAAATAAAAATGGCAAGATACCATCTCACTACAGTAATAGTTATTTTTGGGTTTTTTAATGTGCCATTGAGTTGCCTGTGACTCATAACAACCCTATGTACAATAACTCTGAACCCTTCCCTATCCTGAACCAATCTCACTGTCTCCAACACATCTACTGCTATTATCACATTTACTGAGTCAATCCATCTCATCCATGGTCATCCTCTCTTGCACTGTCCCTCCACTCTTCCAAACATAGTGTTCTTCTCCAAGGAGTTATCTCTCCTGGAAATATACTCAAAGTATGTGAGACAGAGCTTCAAAATCCTTGTCTCCAAGGAGTAGCTTGGTTTCACCCTCTCCAGGGTAACTTTTGATTCTTTTAGCAGTCCACGGTATGATCAATACTCTTCTCCAGCACCACAGCTCAAAGGCATTGATTAGTCTTCTATCATCCTTAATCATTGTCCAGCTATCTGATGCACAGCAATTAATTTCAAAGACCATGGCTTGGATCAGGCACACCTTAGTCTCTAGATCAACATCAGGAAAGCAAGCAATAAACGTTGAGAAGATGTGGAGAGATTAAAACTCTTATGTGCTGCTGATGGGATTGTAATATAGTATAACCAGTCTAAAAGACAGTTTGGTATTTCTTCAAAAAGCTGAACATAGAAATCCCATATAACCCAGATATTCTACTGCTAGGAATATACCCCAAGGAAATTAGAACTGAGACATGAACAGAGATATGCATGTACACCTGTATTCATGACATCATTATTCACAGTAACAAGAAAATGCAAACGGTGCAAATGTCCATCAGTAAACAAATGAATAGAGAAATTGTAGTACATTCACACAATGGAATACTGTGCAGGACTAAGGAATAATGATTTTAGTAAAATACTTTATGATATGAGAGAGTCTAGAGAGTATTATGCTGATAGTATTATGGTATAGTCTCGTAAAGACAAATACTGCATAAGATCATTATTGTAAAAATAGAAGGATAACTGACTACTAAATATATGAATGTTGAAAAGGAGAAGGGGAAAGGGTAGAATAAAGAGAAGGATGAAAATCACTAGGATAGCAGAGTTTAGTGGGCAGATGAGAGTGTGAATGAATAAGAAAGATTCAATAAGCATAAATCAATAGTAATTAATTATAAATATAAAAAATATTATGTATATGAAACAGTGTTAATGAAAGATTATATAAAACATAACATATATGAATGGGGAATAAAGGAAGACTATAAAGCAAAAAAATTATAAATTCGTTCACAGATTTCAATTGACCTACAAAGTCATTAGGAAACTTAGTCTCTCAGTAAGAATAAAAAAATTAAGAAGAAGAAAAAAAAAAGATTGGAACAGTCTGGCCCAAATTCCTCTAACGTGTGCATTCTATTATTTCAGGTCTCTGAATTTAATCCTTTGACATTTACCAGTGTCATTGAGTGTGAGAAGCCAAATAATGACCTGACTAAATTTCATGGTAACATGTAAGTATTGTACATCTGTCTGTCCTTGAGCTGATCTGTTTACTGTCTTTTTCGAGAAAATATCCATTCAAGCAGTGTTCAATTGCTTATACATTTATATTCTCATAAGGTTATGTTGTTGTTGTTAGTCCAGTTGACTGCAACTCTTAACAACTATATGAATAACCTGTGCCATTCTCATCATTTCCGATATACTGAAGACTATTAGTACAATAACAATATCAATCCATCTCGTTAAGGGTCTCCCTCTCTTGCTCTGACCTGCTGCTTTTCCAAGGACTGGCCTTTTCTACCAACATGCCCAAAATATATGAGATGATGTTTCACATTTTTGTCATTAAAGAGCACTTAGGTTGTACTTTCTCCAAGAAAAATGTGTTTGTTCTTTTGGAAGTCTGTGAGCTATTCAGTATTCTTCTCCAACACCACAAATGAAATTAATTGTCCAACTTTCAGGTTCATTGTTGCATCAGTTGTTGTGTATGGTTAAATTAGAGCCCTTCATAGCTAACTCTTCAATAGATTTTCAGAGGCAGTAAATCACATGGGAGGAGATTGCCCATCTTTCTCTCATGGAGTAGCTGGTGGATTCAAATCCTGTATGTTTGGATTGGAAGCTCAATTGGAAAGACTATGGCTTGGTTCAGATGCACCTTAGTCTTTAAACTGACTTCATTGCTTTTTAGCACTTTGGATAGGTCCTTTGACAGCAGATTTTCCAAATGCCCATGTCTTTTAATTTCTTGATTGCTGGTGTTGATTGTGGAGCTAAATAAGAGTAAATCATTGACAAATTCAATCTTTTCCCAATCTATCATGATGATCAGAGATAAGGATTTTTGTTTTCTTGATGTTCATATGTAATCTATATTGAAGCCTATTACCTTCAATCTTCCGCAGCAAGTGTTTCAAATCCTTCTATGGAGCAACTGCTGGATTCAAACTTCCTTAGAAACATGATCTTTGGACTAGTATCACAACTCTGTATGTACTGGACCACTATTTGAACTTCTTTCTGATGATATAGGCCATAGATTGATGCAATGCTAACTCAAACATTATGCATTTCTGGTGCAGGCAAGTGAAAGAACGTAAGTGACTCTGAGGGAGAAAGAGGCTATCCCTTTCCATGTATTATATTATATTTATATTTATTTTTATTTTTTAACTAATTTAGATATTATCTATATATACAGAAAGAAAGAATATACATGTGTGTGTGTGTGTGTGTGTGTGTGTGTGTGTGTGTGTGTATAAAATAGAGAACAATGTTACAAAGATACTTCCTGTACATAACCAAACACCTTCTAGGATTGGTTTGCTGAATCTGGAGATTTATGACCATAGTCTAGTGCCTTAAGTAGGTCAATCAGCATAAAATTGCTTATAAAGTTGATGTTACAGCGCTCCCTCCTAGAGCATTAGGCCACTGACCTGCAACCAGAGAGACTGCTGCCCTACTGCTGCCACTTGGAGACCACTGCCTCACCACCATGTGGAAACCACCCCACTGCTCCCCTGCTGTCCTGCATGAGGAGCACCAATACCAGAGGAGAAACCATTTCCTTCCCAAACACCACATTGGTAACCCTGGCCCTCCTAGGGCAAGTGCTTGAGCTGTGGACCTTTTGGACCCGACCTAGCTGCTGCAGTTACCTGGCCTAGAAGACCGCGGAATCACAGGCCACCTCTCTCCCCAGCTGAAGCAAGTCTTCCCTTGAGTCAATTGATCAGAGAGAAATTCAGGCAGAATGAGCTGTCCTTCCTTCCTCTGGAGCAGTGAGTAGATGACCCAAAATTATCATACCAAGGGCTTACTAAGGTCTCAGGCATGAAAAACTCTATCATAGCAATGTCACAGAATAAGCAAATTACCTCACATCCCACACAAAACCAAAACAAGATGTAACCCAGAATCAATGGATTTCCTAAAGCCAGAAAGTCTGATGGAACTTTTTTACTAAGAATTAAAAAAAACAATGATTGTATATTTTCAATGGGTAAAAGACAAACTTAAAGCAATTCAAGACAATGCAGATAAAACAAACAAAGCATTAGAAGTTCTGGGAAAACAAGAAACCACAATATAGAGTATGAGGATCAATGTATCAGATGCTGTTGACATGGAGGGACAGATGAGTAAGTTGAAGAAATGGAACACAGAACCAGTGAAATAGAAGAATTCTCAACACTGATCTGCTAGGGAAAAAAGCAGAATCAAAAAGGAAGGGCAGGGAGAAGCCTAAGAATAATGTAGGACATCATCAAGAGGAATATCGTGTGCATAACTGGAACCCCAGAAAGGGAGAAGCAAGTAAAGGCTCTGAGAGAGTTGTTGAAGAATTACAAGAAGAAAAATTACCTGGTATAATTGTTGTTGTTGTTGTTGTTATGTGCCGTCGAGTCGCTTGCGACTCATAGCGATCCTATGTACAAC